CAGTAAAAATTATATCCCTTTGATGTGTCCGGATACCCAATAAAGTAGCTAGGAGTTGATTTAGGGTCTAATTTCTTTTCAAGTGGATTGTAAATCCTAACCTCAGCTGGACATCCCTAAACTTTGAAGTGAGTCAAATTTGGCTTACGCCCGGTCCATAATTCAAAAGGTGTCTTTGCAACAGCCTTACTTGAAACTCTGTTCAAAATATACATAGCAGTTTTCAAAGCTTCACCCCACAAATATTCAGGCAAATTTGTTTTACTCATCATACTTCTAATCGTATATTTTAGAATCCGATTACGTTTTTTAGAAACATCATTCTGCTCAGGTGTCCCTGGCATGGTGTATTAGGGTATTATTCCACACTCTTGTAAAAACTTTGCAAAATCACCCATATTTTGACCAAACTCATCATATTTTCCATAGTACTCACCACCACAATCATATCTTACAACTTTGATACTTTTTCCACATTGTTTCTCTACTTCTTGTTTGAAAATTTTGAATTTCTCAAGTGTACGTGATTTATCGCTAATCAAGTAAACATATCCATATCGTGAGAAATCATCAATAAAAGTTATGAAGTATTTGTTCCCACATATAGTGAAAGACAAAGGTCCACTGATATCAGTGTGTATTAAGTCCAAAATTTCATTACTCCTAGTTGAACCCTTCATCGTAGACTTAGTTAACTTTCCTCTTATAAAATACACACAAGTGTCAAAATCAAAGAAGTCTAAAGAGAGAAGTATATCAACTTTTACTAATCTTTCCATTCTATCCTTAAAAATATAACCCAAACGCTTATGTCACAACATAGAGGATGATTCATGAATTAAAGCCATTTTCTTTGATACATTGGTAACACATGAGACATCACCAAAAAGAGCCAAAGACAATTTATATAAACCATCATATAAAATGCCATTCCCAATCAAACGAGAATCATTAAATAACTTAACAATTCTATTACCAAAATTAAATGTAAAACCACAAATATCAAGTTTCGATATAGAAATTAAATTTTGTCTCATTTACAGTACATAAACTGTATTTTTCAAAACAAGAGAAAAACCAATCTCTAAAGTCAACTTGACTACTCCTATGAATTCAACCTTCACTTGAACTCCATTTGTAACGCTCAAGCTCACTTCATTCTCACTTAATCTCCGTTTGCTTGTGAACCCCTGCAAGGAATTCACAATATAAATACTAGCTCCCGAGTATAACCACCAAGAATTCAAAGGCACATCTACTAAAGAAGACTCAAAACAAACTAAGGCCAAGGAAATACCTGGAGAACTCTTCTTCTTTTCCAACCAAGTCTTAAACTTAAAACAATCTTTCTGTCAGTGACCCTTCTTTTTACAGAACTTGCATCGATCATTTTTCTTTATAACTCCTTTGGGACCATTAACATCTTTATTCTGTTGACTTCAGTGGGACTTATTTCCTCTACGAAACTTAGGTTTATGGTTATGAGAAGGCTCTTTATTCTATGATGGCTGAAAAGCTAATTGCACAGTTTCAACAGTTTCACAGCGCATCCTATTCTCTTCTTGGGCATATACTTCTATGAGGTCATTCAAATTTCATTTATCTTGCTGAGCATTGTAAGCAATCTTAAGCTGATTAAACTGACTAAGAAGGCTATTTACAACATGATAGACTAGGAAAAGCTCTGCAATGGGAATGTTAAGAGCCTTTAGTTTAGATGATATATTTATAATTTTCATGACATGCTTCCTAATACCACTTATACCATCATATTTCATACTCATCAATTTATCCATCAGATCTCCAGTTTTGACTTTATCACACTCAATAAATTTCTCTCCTATGACATCCATAAAACTTTTGGCATTTTCATTATCAGGGATTACACCCAGAATGGAATCAGATATCGATCGCTTAATGATTTTCAAACAAAGTTTGTTAGCCCTTTCTCACTTTTCATACTCTGCTACATATTCAACAGTATTCTTATCTGTGGGTTTCTCAAACTTTTTCTCCATTGCAAAGTCCAAGCCCAAAAGACCTAGTGTTATTTCTACATCTTGTTTCCATCTCACATAATTATTCCCAATCAAGATTTCGATAGCAGACAATTAATTCGAAAGAGATGAGGTATTATAAATTGTGGAAAAATAAAATATTATACTCAATATCATCCAAACATAATGCACACAATCAAATGGATGATAAAATATCAAACTAATTAATATGAGCTATTAATTAGATAATTCGTAATTTAAATCAAAACATATGAATTTCATTACGGTAAGAGCCTAGATGCATTATCATAAAGTCACATTTGGGTAGACAATACAACATGCTATAAGGTATTCTTAAAATTTATCATGTAACCAGTTAACAAAATTACATTGGTTTTCGAAGCACCAACACCTTTGGGCAGAAGGGGATTTCTAGATCAAAGTAAGCTCGTTAACTGCTTTATGCCATTTTAAAAAAATATCACATATAATAACACCTTTGGGTAAGATATTATATGCAATAAATCAAAATTGTTGCGCAAAAAACATATATATTTTTATTGTAGAGAAAACTAAATAAATAATAATGAGTGTGTCACTTTGTCAACTACTACCCATTTTTATTACAAAATATTTCTCTTTGCGGGATAAATAAAGGTCGTCTCAAAACCCATAAAAAAATCAATCACAACATAATAATTAAGCAACAAATCATAATCATAATCATTAATCGATGAAAAACAAAAATTCATATGTGATTGAAAGACGAAATTGGCAACAAAATTTCAAAAATGAGATTTAAACGCATAAATAATAGCAATATTTAAATATATAAATATTTTAATGAAAAATATAAAAGTCGTCAATCAATCAATTATTTATTTATCTATTTATTTATTTTAATCGGGTCAATTAGCAAATAAAATTTCAATTGGGTCAAAATTAAAATTTCAGGGTCAAACCTTTTAAAAGTTCAAATTTAATACCTTTGAAAATTACATTTTTGACCCCGCATTGAAATTAAAAATAGGTCCTTCAATATTTAAAAATTGCGTGTCGGGTCCTTATTTAAGTAATTGCAATATGACTCCCAATTGTTAATTGTAACAGGGGCTTGAAGATTAGTTATTTGCAACAGAAGCCCCCATTTCCCTCTACTGCCCATTTTCTTAGAAACAGAATTTTTATTTATTTATTTATTTATTTTGTTTTTTTGTTTCACCCGACTGTGACTTCTTCCATCGTAGATTATGGGTTTCTTCAAAACAACAAATTATACATTATGGGTTTCACATGGCAGATTCCATGAAAATTCTGTACTTCACGTGGCTAAAACAATATGAATTCTTGCTAAATTTGGGCAATCAAGATCCAACTGTGAAAGTAAAAATCCATATTCTTGGCTTCTTCAAAATAACAAAATATCAATCAAAAGGAAATTATATAAATACATGCATATACATACAGAGACCTTGAAGAAAGGGTTGTAATTGTGGATTTCTCTTTCCTGTCTTAGATGCAATAGGGTGGGAGAGAGCGAAAGGTTGACCATGATTTGCCGAAGGCAAATCGATAGAGAAAACCAAGAGTTGGGTTTGCAGATTTGGTGCTGGAAACGGGTGTCTGCTCTTTAAACATCTTTATTTAGCTTCGATTTGTTTTCCCATTATTTGCTTACTAAAATGAAAAATATGACTGTTATTCATCAGATCAAACAACAATTATTTAACTTTTTATCTTTTGTGTGGAGCCTGTAACGACTATATTTTTCATTTTTATTTTTACATTAATGTGTACCAAATAGGACCTTAATGACTATATACTGCACAAAACACAAAAAGACTTTAATCCAAACAATTTTGAATTGGTGGGAATTTAAGAACTGTTCGATTAGAAATAGAGAAAGAATATTATATTTATGAAGGATTATGATTTTAGGCCCTGTTTGAGCTCTATTATTTACTCATTAAAATGAAAAATATGTCCGTTATTCATCACATCAAGTCATCATATTGATTTTTTATCTCTTGTGTGAGGTCTATAAAGATTATATTTTTTATTTTTATTTTTACAATAATGTGGCTCAAACGAGGGCTTAACATGAAGGCTGTGTTACCAATTGTTAATGTTTATTTTCAATCATGTTAAAAATCAAAAATCACCAAATAATAATTTAATAAAAACGAATTCATATGTGCGAAAACCATTGTTGATATGAATAATAATTATAATTGTAATACCCGCTAGATCTTTCCCTTCTTGCTTCTCACAAAAATTCGCCTTCAATGGGGCAAGCTAATAAAATCATATGGAGAGGAGAGGGGACCTAACCTTTATATAGGAATTTATTTAATCATCCCATTATCGACTTAAACCCTAATTAGGGTTTACTCATTATTGCAGCCCACATACTTGAAATTACTACATTATATCAAATAAAATCCGTGAGGTGTAAAACAACCCAAATTGACCACCTAGCATAATTGACCTAATCATAATGTCATTGTGAGTCATACATCTAACTCTTAAAATTTTACAATCGAAGACGAAGCCTATATTTAGAATTATTCTAACACATTTTAGTTCGAGTTGATTCACTCATTAATGTTATGTAATAGGCCTCAAAAACTCCTTAATTTAGACAGAATACTGAAAAGTTGATCTGGTAAATGAGAAGACTCAATTTCTCATTCGATAAGCGCCTCTCTCAACAGACCTAGTAGAAGCCATTACGTAAATCTAGCTAGAAATGAAATTGTAAAAGGGTGTCTTCTTCACAAAATACTACTTGTTTTGCTGAACTTCATCAATTCCCACATTAAAATGCTAATCATCTTTGAAATATTGCTATATACTTCTTATTTTTCAACTTGAGAGAACATCATATAATCAACATTTGCACCACCAATTTCTTTCCATAATTACACAATTTGAGTTTAGCAAAATGTATCATGAATTTTCTACTGACATATATGTAACATAAATGCTCATCATAATCCATCACCCAAAAATATTTGAACAAAAACAGCAAATTTGTAAGCAGACGCAGTTTGCTAATTAAAACCAGATTACATATATGCTTTCTTGTTAAGAGCTTTGTATTATACTATTAACCACGGACACTCAACATGGATAGCCCAAATAGCTCTTCGCCTCTGTGGAGTCATCAACATAGTGCCTGAAAAGAACCAAAAAGAGATTAGGATTTCTTTTGCCAATTAAATATTGTAGCATCAAAGCCTCGAGAAAAACCTCGGCAAAATTCTTGTCAACTAAAGAAACAAAGATTAAGAAGGCTAACCCAAGTAAAATGTCTTGGCGTACTCAGCACATACTTCACCACAGCGATCATATGCTTCGCTTAAAAAGCTACAGGGACCCGGAAGAACAATATCCAGCTTTACTTCCAAATTGTCATTGGATCTCAACTGCCTCTTAACCAAGGCCGCCTGTCTCAAAAACACATCATAAACCTTATGTTCCGAGGTTAGCATCGTTTCTCCAGCCGGGCTAGCTGCCATACTTGATATGAGAGAGTTTTCTTCCATTCCCTGAATTCGACTCGCCCAACCAGGAATACCTTGAATCTGCTTTAGGACAACTTAAATTCCAACTATATTTTCTGCCCTTGCAAATCAAGTTCCAACCCCGAGAAATGGACCAGGATGAATCTAGATTCCGGTTACCCCTCGGATGGACTCTAGGAATCCAGTGCCACTGACCACCTTAGAAGTGGGATAAACAACCCAGTACAAAGCAACAGACATGTTGACTCTGAACTTTTAGTGGTCTAAACAATGCAAGAATTTTGTCCTCCATTCTGTTACCTTCTTTACTTTACTTTTTAAAAAATTAGCACTCAAGTCTATCAACTTCACTTTTGAAGAAAAAAATTTAAAAATCCCACCAAAAAAAAAAGAAAAAAGAAAAAAAGAAAAAAGAAGCTTGTCCTACTCAAACAGAGTTCTTGAGTTCAATTTGACATAGGATCATCAAGAAGTGAGGGGCTAGACAAGGACTATAGGCTCTTGTAACAAACAATAATACATGGAAAGAAAATAAGATAGAAAAGCATACCATCCTGGGTCCAATTGATTCGAAATCTTGAACAATGTATGAAGTGAAATGTCTGAAGCATACCAGCTTGACGTATAATTTTTCTCCATTCTGTATGTTCACACCTGTGACAATGATGCATAAATGATCCATAATGATGAACAGTAATCCCTTGACAGTAACATAAAAAGACCAAAAATAAAAATAAATCAATGTAATTATCAAGTCTTATGTAAAAATTAAAGAGCACCTAAATAGAGTTCACCAAATGAACAACTCCCAATTTTCCTCCGAAGCTTCAATTTTCCAATCATAGCATGCTCCCAAATTCCAATAGCACCCTCAACACCCAGAAATTAATTTTATTTTCTCCAAATTTCAATGTCATGTCAGGATGAAAAAAGAATCCCAGATTACAGCCAATGAGAATCCAACAATTAGGATACAAATACTCGACCTCCCAAAAACAAAATTTAAATTAAGTCATTTTCACCCACACTGGATCAAAGGAATCAGTTGATGAAAAAGTTTCCCTTTTGAATACTTCCAAGTACCTTACAAAATATGGTAGTCCACCAGTTTTATTCATTATAAGTGCAATTAAATAATTTCGACACTGTAGGTAAATATTAGAAAATCAAATCAAACCGAAGGCCTGTGTATTCATAGTTTCCTTAAATCGAATTCGCTGCCTCACCGGAGTGCAAGAGGTTTTGATCAGTGTTCGATTCCCATGATACAATCGGTTGTCGGTTCACGTTGTACTACGTTAACCACCTGCGAACTAGCTGTGATATAATCTATCTCACAAAGAAATTATAAGCATAAGGAAGAACTTGAAAGTGAGAAAAAGAAGATTGTTGCTTAGAGGAAGAAGCTTGCATTTCACTTGTGATTTTCCAACCTAGAGAGACTCCTATTTATACCAATGGAGGAAAAGCTAGCTCATTAATCAAGGAGTTAAACCATTCATTGATAAAGGAGTTAAAAACATGAACGGACTTGAGTTACTTGAGTTACAACATATGAAGAGACTTCTATTCAATACTATGAAACGAAGACCTAGTAAGCTTAGATTCAATGCATGTTTCACATTTATGATTTGAATCAATTTGAAATCTAGGCAAGTAATTTAGTTTGCTTAATCTACATAAAGCATTGTAATTTACGTGACCTAATTACCATGCCACAGATTAGGAGACTCAAGCAAGTAAACGGAAGGAGTTTTCTCATTACTCATAACAGTTTGGGTTACACCAATTACATTCAATTTAAACAGACCATCAGTCATATAGCCTTTCCCAACATAAACTCGTATTTTGGTAATCACCAACTTATCCGCCTCAAAGACCGTGCGGAACCCATTCTTGCTCAGAAGAGACCAAGAGACCAGATTCTTGCGAATCTCTGGCACGTACAGCATATTAGTCAGAGTAAGCTCTTTGCCAGATGTCATCTTCAGGATCACCTTGCCTTTACCAAGCACTTCAGAAGTTGTAGAGTTTCCCATGAACAACTTTTCACCATTTGTAACTGGTTCAAAAGTAGCGAACATGCTCCTGTTGGAGCAAACATGGCAAGTGGCCCCAATGTCCAGCCACCACTCCTTTGGGTTAGATCCCACTATGTTAACCTCACTAATCACCGTCGTGAGGTTTAGCTCAGACATTTCATTTGAGAGATGATCTCTCTCATTTCCAACCATATTAGCCTGAGGACGTTGCTTATTATCCCTCCGAGGCTGACGGCAGTCTACTGATTGATGCCCAATTTTGTCATAATGGAAGCACTTTCCATTGAACTAGAACTTAGGTTTCTTTCCTACCCCACCTGCAGGCTTCAACTGAGACCCTTTCGTAGCCTGTTTTTTATCTTTTCGATTTTCGTTACCCTGTTTGGCTTTAAAGAAGTGAACTTTCTTAGTACCAGAACTTTGGCCGTACTCCAATATATTAGCCTTCTTAGAGTAAGAATTCTCTGACTTACGTTCAGCCCGCTTGTTATCCTCCTATGCACATCAGTGTTGTTTTCAGTCACAATAGGGGCATCCTCAGTGAGGAAACGTGCAAGGCCCAACGTAGTGAGATAGAAAACCATCTTATTCTACCATGTCTTAAAATCAGTACCGGCAAACTTATCTGGTCGAATTGCATGATTCACCGAAAATGGAGCTGGAAACGATAGCAAAGGTGCCGAAGCTGCAGCCCTAGGCACTGGCAAAGGTATTGTGCCAAACTCGATTGCCGAGGCCGCAGCCGAAGACAAAGTTGGGTTCACTCCAACCTGAGGAATCCCGCTTCCAATTATCCCGTCAATGGGAGAAATGTCAGTCGTGGTCTCCATAGGGTTAACAACGGTCATTGCAGGATTTGGTACACCGGTACCAACATTGTTGTTTTCGTTGTTCACATCGTTATTTCCATGTGACGCCATTGAACCTGAACAAGCAACAAATAATTTAAAATAATTATAAGTTTGCAAAGTTATATATAAATTCGAAATCAAGTTATCTGTTCAGAAAATAAAACTGTAGAGTTGAAGAACAGATTATTTTGTCAAATTATTAACAACTTAACAATCATTTAAAATGAATTAGAAATAATGCAAAAACCATGAACTGGAAAAATTGACAAAAACTAATGAACAAAATTTGATTTACTAAAGCCAATTTCGATTTAAGCTTGTAGGTAAATATTAAGAAATCAAATCAAACCGAAGGCCTGTGTATTCACAGTTTCCTTAAATCAAATTCACCGCCTCATCGAAGTGCAAGAGGTTTTAATCGGTGTTCGATTCCCAGGATACAATCGGTTGTCGGTTCACACTGCACTACGTTAACCGCCTGCGAACTAACTGTGATATACTCTATCTCACAAAGAAATTATAAACATAAGGAAGAACTTGAAAGTGAGAAAAAGAAGATCGTTGCTTAAAGGAAGAAGCTTGCATTTCACTTGTGATTTTCCAACCTACAGAGACTCCTATTTATACCAATGGAGGAAAAGCTAGCTCATTAATCAAGGAGTTAAACCATTCATTAATAAAGGAGTTAAAAATATGAAGGGACTTGAGTTCCTTGAGTTGCAACATATGAAGAGACTTCTATTCAATATTTTTCATTACTTCTATTCAATATTTTTCATTCAATTCTAACATAGTATTCCCAGAAAATCAATTACCTTTATGATATTCTTGAGGTTCTTAATGAGCTCAGATTCATCAGACAGTTCGTGTGAGTGCTCTACATATAAACAAATCCATCATTCACAATAAACACAAAAAGAAAAAAAATACAGAATCATATGTATAAATCTTTCTAATACCATGAGGATTATACAAGGCATTGCGATAGATGGAAATTGTGGCAGAAGGTGGGGATTCTGGGGAATTCTCCAAGTGTTCGACGAAATGACAGTTTGGGATTTGAGAAGATACATAGCACAACAAACAAAACTTCATCCTTCTAGCTTCAATTATTCTCTTAGGCATATGTCCACAAACAATCCAATAATGAGCATTTCTCTCCAGCATTAGCTCCGTTCGCGCACGGAGCTAGTGTGCGAGCATTAGCTCCATGCAGCACGGAGATGCTGTCGAAGTTGGGGAGAAATACTGGAAAAATTTTAAAAATTTAAAAAATAGCCAACAAAATTACAAGCAAATCCGGGGCAACGTAGCGTCACTTGCAAGAAGCTAAATCAAAATCATAAGTTTCTGAACCTCCTAGGGAAGAAGTGAAGACTACCTCACACACGAAATCAAAATCGTATATTTTAATATTAAATAATTGAAAAATGAAGGAAAAGTAAAAATTTAAGAAAAATGATGATTAATTCAAAAGAATAAAGAAGAAAAAATTGGAAAAGCAAAATTCATAAAACAAGAAAACAAATGATTACATGAAAATACAATAAACATATACTTATAGAAATTAGAGAGATTTTGATTTAAAACGTTTCCTGAACATACGTGACCATGAAACTATTCCTGGGTTGTATAGAATGTGGGTGATGGAGTTGATCATGCACATTGCAATTTTGGCTAGAATTGGAGGCATGGTCGTGCGTGCAGATGAACTTTTGTGTCAGATTTTGAAGGTAAGGTATGAGATTATGGAATGGGTTTGAGCTGATGGTTCAGTGAGAAAAAAAAAATAAAAATAAAAAATTGGAGGACGATAGGAAATTGCGACACATGTTCAGCACAAGTTTCACTCTTTTATATATGTAGGATAGGATTATTTGGATAATTCTATATTTACAGTTACAGAGGACTCTTTCACAGGCTTCTTACAGAACTTTTTCACATGGGCTCCTTCACAGGCTTCTAACAGGGATTTTTTATTGGTTCGAAATTGGTGATGTGGTCACCATTTAACTTTAAGCGGGAAAATAAATCGATCACCCCCAAATTGAAATCCAGAGATCCTATGTGAGCGCAGAAAAACAAAACGTGTGCTAAGTGCCACATGGGGAGTGTGCCATGTTTGGCGTGACAATTTGTTAGAGGCCGTGACTTCGTTTTTACTTATACTACTGTAGATTGATGCTTATGGAGTATTATTAAGTTATTCTTTCCTTCCAAAATTTTAAAATATACGTTTATGTAATTATACTTTTAACTACAAATTTTATAAGGTTAATAATTATTATTAGTTTTTTAATCAAATATCATCAACTTTTATTAACGTTAATTTAAATTTTTTAGGAAA